GACAGAAGGAAATCATTTTGCAAATGTGCAAATTCTGTTAGCGCACGCAGTCAGCTTTTCCTGCATGTACGTGAAGCGTTTGAGGAAGCAACTGAAATCAAGGTTCCAGGTTCAAAGGTCAGGAAGCATATGCGTCTTTTGCAGACTCGAAGTCGACTTTCTTCTTATGCCGTTGGTGGGTGACATACAGTTCGGTTGGAAGTTGGAAGCCGCCGTGCTAGCGATATTGCTAGACCAGATCGGTATATGTGCGCTGGCACGGTGATTGGTGGGAAACACATACATTAATGAATAGACCCGATGCATCGAGCGTTTTTTATAGTGCTCACCTCATTCAAAACGTGAGCTTTTATTTAAATAAAACGTAATAAATAGGGAACCAAGATGAGCATGTAATGTTTTGGCTTCAAACTAAGCAAGTCGCTCCTTTATCATTAAACCATTTCCAGCCGCCGTGGAGCGTTTGGCCGAGGGCACACTCAAAATAGGCGATGCTTCTCAACGGTTTCCTGCAACTCGGTTCTTCAGAGTGTTGAGATTGCAAAAAAGTCGATGGAGAAAGAGAAAGCATGTGCGAGTGCCTAGCTCCTGAGAAACTGTTCCACTTTAGCGACTCCATAGCGAGAGGGTGAGACGTGACTGCCGTCTAAAGTTGAAGGTCTAGCACCTGGTGGGGGCGTCTCTTCATCACAACAAATGGAAGGGCTTCAGTTATTGTTTGTGACGGTGACGAGCATCAATAAGATTTGCATGTACATGTCTGCCGACCGCTCGCGTCACAGGTAGTTCTGCCCTGCTCTTGGAAGCCAATGTGAAGTGAAGGGATATATGGAGTTGCTGCGGTATTGCTTAGTTATGTGATGAGACACATATACAGGGGGGCCAAAAAAAAGTCATTTTGCCTCCATGACTTTCAAGGCGCTATAAGTTACACTTTATTAAATTTTTATCGGACATTTTTACTACCATATTAAAGAGCACATTAAATACTATAATGATACTCCGCCACAGCCTTCTGGAGGAGCGCCATCGAGAGATTCGGCCGCGCGAAAGTGAGTGGGTACCGGAGTTGAGCGAGATCGTTGATTTCTCCGCCACTGTAGACCACCCTGTTGAGCTCCGCCCGAACCGAGTAATTGAGGGGGTTTAGTTCAGGACCCCCGCTTAAATACTCCATCTTTTCCAGGTACTCAACGTTCTTCCATTCCAAGTAGGCGAAAGTTTTTCCAACGCCCTTTGATTTCATGTGGTGGCACTCGATGCTGTAGCAGTACAAAGTTTCCAAGAAGGTACGGGCGACCACATGTGAGCTGGATATTCTTCACGAGTTGCCCAATGTAACCGCCAGCGCTCACCTTCAGTCCGGGGTCCACGAAGAAAATATTGGTCTTTCCATTCCAGGTACGTCCGGTCCATACCATCAACCCGCGCCTTGGCGACTGGGGTGAAGATGATGGGTAGCTATCCATGGGTGATTCCATTCAAGAAGTTCCGCAGCTGTTTGGAGGCCACGTGAATTCCAAAGGCGTTCTCCACTCAGGCCGCGACTGGAGATGACTTCATATTTTGGTGTACATGAAGGTGAATGGCGGCAGCCGGCTCCTATAGAGGAAGATCTTGGGTATCTTCCGCCCTGGTACTCATATCCACTTCCTCTGTCTGGGCTGCGAAAACTTCGCTCATATGTGACTCGGCCGGAATGACTTTTTTTTGCCCCCCCCCTGTATAGTGGCGCCTAATGGCAAGTGCCCGCAGGGAAATCGCGGAAACTGCTCCTTCTTTCGTTAATAATAAAGGCTCATATGCGCACAATACCATGATTCGTCGAATACTTCTGTTTATTGGGAAACCTGATTATTATAATACGAGAGCAATTTGTCTGGTGAGGAACGCGTTATGAACAGAAACCGTTATTCCGTGGACTTCCGTACTTGGTTAATAAGCGGCAAGAGCATCAGCGTCGATGTGTCCAGTTACTTCTGGGCCAGCGGCTTTGCAGTGGATGTCGAGTCAGGGTACATCATGGGGATGTGCGAAATGGCGGTGTGAGTACGAACCCCCACCCCCTCGAAGAGGGTTCAGATACGACCCCCCCTGACAACCAGATGCATGTTCACCACAAATGGCTTCCTGAAATGGAATCGGAATTTCGAAAGCCGGACTCTCTCTAAAATCCAGGCAATAAGAGGCTGTTTCAGCCTCATGCAATATGAGGCTGAACAACAGCCTCGCATTACCTACAATTTTGTCTTAGGATTCAAAATAAAACTCCTCGTTCGATAACTATGTATGACATGCAACTTGTAACAAGGAACACAATCGAAACAGCGACTAATGGTGATCATTGATAAGCTAAATTGGTGAAAAAATAGCCCCAAGGTCAGCGTGTCAGGCCCCAGATGTGCATTCAATGAATGGTGACGGGGAAATCATAAAAACATGAACGACACAACAAAGCGAAACATGAAAAATAAAAAAAATGCGGAGCCAAATGAGAAAAAGGATAACCAGGCGGCAGTAAATCGTTCTATACTTGGCTATTATCGATCGCAAGGTCGCAACCGCTGCAAAAACGTCATTGGAGCGCGGTAACTCGAAAGTCAGCGTCCTGGGGTCTTTTCAGGAGCTTATATCTCTTTTAGGTGCGGAGCTTTTGAGGAATGGTGAGCAGCATGCAACGGCAAAGTTTCTACTGTTGTGTATTCTACCTAGTTGCAAACTGAACAATCCCCCGTTGGTGAAATATTCCGGATGGGTTTTGGATAGGCTAGGGGTAAATGGCAAGCGGGTTTTTATGCTTCACACGAGGACTACTTATTTCGAACGCAATTTCATCAGGATTGAAATAGTCTTGAAACCGCCCTATCTTTTCTCTTTCCAATAATTTTTTCTCTTTCCAATAAGCTTTACAGTTTTCTGAAGACCCACTAGTTCAGGAGATATTTTAGATGGGTCACAGACGCGCTACCCTCTGACCCACCCGAAAAATCGACTCCTGTGCCATTGTGAGGATACACCTTCGAAAACTCCAAAACACATATTTCCCTTCAAATGAGTGAAAGAGGAGCTCGGCTATCACTGATCGATTTGGTCCGAGCGTGCGCCGTGCATTACTCTCCTACGCAGAGGTGATGGAAAGGTATAAATTCTAATTTGAGGTGCTTTTATCCATGCAAGCAGATGTTTGTTTAGGGTTTGGAAAGGACAATACGCACGAATCTGTTTGAGACGTATTATTTAGTCATCTACGTACTTACGAGTTCATGCTATTAACTGATATTTATTTATTTATTTATTTATTTATTCTTGCTATTCTTGCTATATTGCTAATAAATTTTTTATTATTTTGTAGTCCTATTTACATCCGGGTCTTCTGCAGCTTTCCGTTCCTTCCATCAAACTTAGCAATGACACTTTTGTACTGTTTGATGCCTAGCGAGCCTACTTTTGCGATACTCCCCACGTCCCCCGCGGCCAAGTACGAACCCATTTTGGGGATTTTGCATGAAAAGAGGGCTGTTAAACGTAGCAGTTCAATCTGTAAAGAATACACTCATAATAATTTTCATTTTTTTAACATCTCAACTTCCATAGCTCCACTCCCACTATCAACTGAAATGTCGAAGCATTGCCGGCTCTGAGTGACCCTTGAGATTACGACCCCCCCTCCCCAGCGGCCAAGTACGACCCCCCTATGGGTTTCGCACAACGATGCTGTACCCTGTAGCAGTGCCTCAGCCGGGCGGAATTTGGAGGCAGAATAAGGGTATCACTACCCTCCGACTTCGTTTTCTGAAACTGAAGGAAAAGGTACGCTATTGCACTTGCTCGACAGTCGAGTCTGCTAGGGCCTAGATCGGGAGCTATAATGGCTAGATAGATAATAGCTATAATTGGTTAAGAAAAGCGGTACAAACTCTTTGCTGGAGATCTCATCGCTCTTCCGTGCTAGAAAATCTAAGAAACGGGCGATTCAGTGTGCCACCTCTTTCAAGGAGTGTTGACCATACATTTGTACAATCAGGGTGCACCATTCTTATGCGAAACCTTAGGGACAGAATCGAACATGGGCGTGCCGCAAATGCAAGGTCGATCACACGTGAAACGTGTCATCGCTAGGTTTGATGGGGACCGAAAACTGCAGAGGATCCGTGCAGAGAAGACTGCAAAATATCAAAACAATTGAACAGTAATATCAAATGGTGTTTCAAGGTTCGCAAAACACTGCAACCATAAGAAGTTGTTTCGTCTAAAACATGAAAGCCCGCGCATGATCTACCATTAAGCGTCCGTAACCTGTCCGAAATATTTAGCGAAGACTCCAGATTGTCAGTAGGTACATAGAATACGCAACAATAGTGGAATTGCTTCAACATGCCGCCTCCTTACCTCTGAAGCTCCACGCCCAAAAAAGCTATCACCCACAGAAAAAGCCTCGCCATCTCTACCGGTTTGTCGGATGTGCTCAGCCATTAATTGCCACGTAATCATAGAGCGGCGCGAACCCTTACGTCATTACGCATTATCTAATCCATCCCGAAACTGGAGTCGGAGTAGAGCTTCGTACCAGGATTCTCCTCCGGAGGAAGGCGGAAGAGGTGACACGGCCATTTCTCATATCACAATGCTGTACCCGTTGCAATCGAGACAAAGCCTTCTTTCAGTGGAGTATCGAAAATACAGAAGCATGCCGTATCACGGAAGGGGGTCGGCGTCAGTAGACAAGTCGACTGGTAGCCATCGCTCGCACCTTGTCAATGTACTAACAAGAATGCTACTTGACAGCTGCTTGTCCTATTTATACAGATCTTTGTGTTTTGAGCTTTGCATGATCCTCTACTTCCCACTTGGGCCCATGTGTGCGTCGCTTTATTGAAATCAATGGTAAAACAGAACGGAAAGCTCACGTCTTGATTCCAGCTCCCCTCACTGATAATCGCCCCCGCCAGATCCTTCATGAAATCCCTATCGTCTCCAAAAACAAGAAATCGATCAACACCCTATAATGTGGTCAAATGAGGATGTTGAAAGTTGGGTGGGTTTTCCAGAATGCGCGGACTTTTATGATAATTAACTGCCTCTTTTCTGGCGATAACATTTGCTGCAGCTACCGTAGCCATCATGTCCGTTGAAATATTCCTCTCCAAAAAATCGGCTCGCCGACTATGAACGCACAGAGCACTGCGTTGAGCATGACTCCAGAACGAGAACTCACCTGGAGGTCGGGAGCCATTCCTAAAACTATCACCTTTCTTAATAATTTCTATCATCTTTCGAAATATTTAAGCTCCGGCTGTTAGTTGTCATTCAGTGAACGTACGCTTTCAGACTGTCCAACAAGGCGCTTCCCTTCGCTGACAATATGTGGTGAAAATTTGAGAATCTCACGAATCTCCTCTATAATATCCTCGAAGTAGCGTGGGTTTTGTGCAAAAGAAAAAGCCAGGATTATGAATTTTTCAGTATGATTCATAAGCCTGAAGTGCTAGCATTATGTTTCCTACTTTCGTGCACCGGCGTCGGGCACCGTTTAGACTTGTAGCGCTACAATTGTACACAACATAGTTCTGAATTTTTATAACTTTTTTCGACGTCGTTTTTTCACATTCAATCTTCACAAAACGAATATAGTCATGCATTTACACACTAGCACACTAAGCCCCGCCCCTCTGACCACGCCCACTTTCGTTTTTCGCGGAATTTTGATTTTTCTTCCGAATTTTCACTTTTTTAGGCTGTGACAAGCGGCCCCGCCCACTAATGGAAGCTCCGCCCACTTTGTAGAAGCCCCGCCCACTTTTCAAAAATGATGCAGATCGGCGAGCTAGTGACCGTACTAGCAGGTTATGACCTCTCCCGTCACATAGAATGAAAAAAGGGAGAGACCAGAAAAAAGGGAAACTTTGTTCCGGGTGACGGGAGAGGCCATAACCTGCTAGTACGGTCACTAGCTCGCCGATCTGCATCATTTTTGTAGGAGCGGAGCTTCCAAAAAGAGGGCGGAGCTTCCGTTTAGTAGGCGGAGCCGCTTGCTACAGCCTAAAAAAGTGAAAATTCGGAAGAAAATCAAAATTCCGCGAAAAACGAAAGTGGGCGTGGTCAGAGGGGCGGGGCTTAGTGTGCTAGTGTGTAAATGCATGACTATATTCGTTTTGTGAAGATTGAATGTGAAAAAAACGACGTCGAAAAAAGTTATAAAAATTCAGAACTATGTTGTGTACAATTGTAGCGCTACAGCTGTAGCGCGACGTTACGTTACAAGTCTGAGTACCCAGCTCCGTACGACACTTGAACTCTTATTTAGATGTTCCGAAAATCACCTTACTTGAGCAAGTCCTTGTCTGGCTTTGAGAGATTGGATTCACCATAAGTGCCCCTGTTTGTGATAGTGAAAACGTCCTATATGGACGAAATGGGAAACCCATGATTATTGCTTCCTCTCTACTAGAGCGCTTCCTGCTCAAATACCGTGGAATGGCAGTGGCGTGCAAACGTGGAGGCACTATGGTCGTGACCCTCCTCCCTCAGCGTCAATTCAGAGAACAACTTACCTTTTAGGATCTTCATAATCACAACAAGAGTGGTTAGCGAATGGCACAAGAGTACTATTATTCCCATCCTGTAAGTGCTTCATTACAGAGATGGAAGAGGAAATTGCGCTGAGAAGTACAAAGAGCACTCGATATACAACCTCAGCTAATCATTGAGAGCTGTGTTGCCTATTTATAGAGCGTTCAGAAAAGCCTGTTTGTCAGCGGTTTGTCCTAGCACTCTTGTTGAACCACAAGACGATTCTGTTTCTGGAGGCAGCTCGACTGATGGCTTGGGCGGCCATATGTTAAATCATCCCATTCAAAAGTGCCGCGACATATAGAGGAATGGCAGAAAAGCAAAGGGGATAGGGAAGGTACACCATTTGGAGGCTAGTACCTTTAGCTGTGTATCTGTGAAATTTGGCGAACCTACCCACAGAAGAAGTTCTCGAGAAATTGAAAAGAAGCCGAGTGGTGAAAATCAGCGCCCGATTTTCAAATCAGACGTCATAAGAGGGAAGTGCGCTGCTCAAATTCTACCGGCGCCAACCACTAGCTGAGTGTAATGGTGTTGTCGACACGGTGGAATGTCCGGTTCAGGAGCCGAAGGAAGAAAGGAAAAAATTTGTTGTCGTGGATGGTCCCATAATGTTCATCCTGCACAAGAAAAAAGGGTGGATGAAGTCAAGCGCTGAATGTCTGATCACAGAGCCTGGACCTTTGTCGAGCTTCCCCGCGAGACTGACATCCCTGCTGCAACTGCTGCCCGAGTTATGTCCGATAAACTGAGGATGGTCAAGAGGGTGTGCGCATGGGTACCTAATTTTCTTGTAGAAGCACGAACGCAGTACCGATTCTATGCCTCTAGCAGTAATGTTCTCAGATGTCATCCCTGAAGAACGCACCCCGGCCCTAGATGAAATATGGGTGGTCTTGGACCTCGAGCCAAAACTCACAATCGTCAATTTTGTATGAATGCAGATGAGAAGCCGCCCGAGTTCTACCATGAGGAGTTACGTGGGCGCAAGTGGATGATCATCATAGCGAAGGATTCCCACACTGTGGCTTTCAGGCGGCTCTATACAGAGAATAAAATCGTCGCTGTCGGTGTATATTGCCTGTTCCTCGGCAATCAGATCGACAAATGGATGATACCACACAACTACAAGAAGGCCACCGTTGCTCGTCATAGTGCCAGACCCAGTAACTGTATTGTAGGGCAGTGCTGGGACACAAACTATCCCATCATTCACTGTCCTATCAGAGTTGATCATCCTCTAAGGAACGGCCCTTCTGCACCATTACCATCACATTACTACGTTGAAACACCAGACCATTAAATTCGTTTTACGACCTTTTTGTTGTGTCAAAAGCTATAAAATAAAACCGGTGTAGGCGGAAGTCGCGCCATTATTTATCAAATCCAAATAAAACTAAGTTTTTTTCGCTACACGCATGGCGTTTCGTAACCCAGTGCTGCCGTTAAGTACATAATTTGCCATACAAAATGTCTTTCCCGAAAACATTTCAAAAATGAATCTCCTATTCACTACATTCGAAACTGATTTTTCTTGATGCACAACCCAGCTGCCACGGTTTTCGGTCACAGCTCTTACCATTGAGGTCTGTCGAATCGAGACAGCGCGACTCCAACTCCTTTCCACCATTCCTCCACCAGAACTCGTTTGCCGTTGACACAACGGACTCACATCAGTGATACTGACCGTATGCCAATGAGCGTACAACAACAGTGCATTTCACATTGAAAGCTCGGAGATAAGGCTGGAGACTGGAAACGTTTCGAATGCCTATAGTAGGCCACTTTTCCCCCGATTTCGGAACTCGACGCTACTACCCGATCTTCTTCGCCAAGAAACAACGCAGCCACCGCCACTTGCTTGCTTCAAGAGCGGCTATCAAATTCTTATTGTACTGCCATGTTGTATTTCTAGATAACATAACTTTCATTTCCTGACTTAAGTGGAGTTAATGATTTCGTGGTTATGATTTCATGCGCTTAAATTAGATGATATCGTCGCAGTCAGTGGGGCGGTGCCAGAAAGCATGGAATGAGCCCGTCGTCTTAAACTCACCCCTCACCCTTTTCTCCAACCAGATTTTCCATCTTCATACAAAATTCACACCACATTTCAAACTAAACTCATTATCTTTCATTTAGAACATACCACACACTGGACCGGTACTTCTGCGCGCTTTTCTTCTTTCGTATACGCACGAATTGAAAAAGGGCCTGCACATCGACACGCGACCCTACCCTTTTTTAGGAATATGCCGCGAATTCCAAATTTTTATACCTTTTTCCGAAGTCATTGTTTTCTCACTCACTCTTTACACTACGAATGTAAAATCACACAACACTTATGCACTAGAATACTAGGCTTTGCCCCTTAAAGGCAAATGGTACGATGATTCGGTGCTCGGCCTAAAATGCTAGTAGGGCGCTATATAGTGGGGAAATGGCGAAAGAACGGAGTGAAACGGTCAAAATCCTGCGAAGAAAGAGCCTCCGTTCTCAGTGACTTAAAATCGATTTTGGACGAGTTTCCCGTAGGCATCTTGCCAATAACCGCTACCGAAGGTATGCGGCTGCATATGTGTACTCATATCCATGCAGCATCACGGCCGCTTTCCTGCCATGCGCATGAATTCTACCCATCTTGGCAGATTTATCGTGCCAACTGCCTTCGAACTACCCCCTTTCTGTGCTTTTCGCGAAACTTTGATCATTTTAATCCTTCTTCTGAACATCACCGAGCACAAATCCCATGCATTGTGTCTTCAGTAGTGTAAAATTCTTCTCCCTCACACAAACTTTTATGTTAGGAAAACGCTGTCAGTCGTGGATTAACGCACTTTTCTCGCCACACTCCATTCACTTCGCTTTTGTGTTTCATAACTTTTACTTAAATGGTTAGTGTTTTCGGATCAGGGCACATCATTGGTTGAGGAATCCCCATAGGGGGGGTCGTATTTGGCCGCCAGGATGAGAGGGGAGGGGGTCGTAATGAGGGCGGTAGCCAGTATCGAGCAGCGCAAAGGTCTCAGTGTGCTGAGTCCAGAGTAGCGGAACTCGCTTTGTAGAGAACTCGGATATGTAAAAGAAATAGTAGAAAACTTTCAACCATCAATTAATCCGAAATAACTGAAATTATTATTATAATAAGTCGACATTATCTCGTAGAAGTCACGTGATCGTGACTGAACAGTACAACTCATACTCTGGTTCGTTGCGGATGATGGGGCGTGTCCGCGATTACGCTTGGCGCTGAGCCAACCTCTTTTTTCAACAAACGACAGGACTACCATATCGTTCGTACCAGACGTTTCCCAGCAGTTGGTCTCCTTTATCGGAGACAGCAATTGGCGGAGCACACATCTGGCGGCGTCGACACAGACACGCTCCATCATCCATCATCGCAAGGGAAAACACTGTAAACAAGTGCACAGGTTCGCCATGGATCTCCCTGAATCCTATAGACACATTTGCTCGCGTGGACAGACATTACGCACAAATTGCACCATCCCTTCACCTCTGCGCGGACCTCAGTGCGCGGCGCATCCAAAGTCAGCGTGATCGGCGCTAAACGAACCATATTCTACTCCTGCTCCACCAGAGGATACGTTTTTTATGCATTCCTGGCTATTCGAACACGCTCACTTGAAACGGTACACAGGAAACGGGTTTTTCGCGCAGCTGGGAGTGTTCCCAAGAAATCCCCATAGCGAGATCTCATGAATCCCGAAAACTTCACAAAACAGCTCAAGAGGTTTTTAGAAAGAGAAAATCTTCAAACACTCGAAACCGTTCTCAGATTTGTGAAATGTTGAGTTACAAAAAAATATATTGTTCAAACCTGTTCAGTTGAAATCACTCCCCAACGAATCCTTATGGCAGATTTCTCTGTGATTTTTGCGACCTTCATAAACGTTTCAGTACTTTTAGGAAGTGCAAACCTTCCTCTACACGAATACGGTCTCCTCTTCCCCACAGGTCCGCTTTTGAGGAAGTTATGGTCCTTCAAAGACACCCCACTTTGCTGAAAGTTCGCGCTCCAGTGCTAAAATTGACGAATAATCTCCGGTCACGGCTGCAATTACATACGCATTCTGCTACCGTACTCCACATCTCGGGTTAATGCATTTCTAGCGCCATTCCTTTTTGTTTTTTCTTTCTGTTAGTGCCGCTTTTTGTTTTTTTCGTTCTTAGTCATTAGCTCTCATTAACTCGAGTTTTGCTGTGCTTTATCTAGCATCATCCTGTTTTTTTGATTACAAACGCTTGCACATAAGTAAATCAACTCAACTTAGGTAGGACTGTTTATATCTATTTTTTATATCTAATTGTTTATATCTAATTTCAGGAAGTATGTAACGTCAACAGTAAAAAAGGGGGGGTCGTACCAAACCCCCAAAAAGGGGGGG